GCTCCGCGCATGCGTACTGGGGCGGCTGGTGGGCGCAGCGCGGGACCGGGCGACGTGAGCTCCTGCCGCCCCTCGGGCCGCCGTTCTCTCGGCCTCGTCCTGTCCGCTTCCCCGCTGGGTGTTCCCTGCCGCCCCTCGGCCGTAGCGGCTTTTCCTCCGCGGGGCACACGGGGTTTAGGGGCGCGAGAGCGAGGCCTGAGACAGCAAGCGAGGTGTGGGGACCCAGCGGCTGCTCCCGCCGCGGCTGGTGGGTGGCCTGGTGGTCCTGCAAGCGCTGAGGTACCACTGGACCTTATTCACCGTTGAACTTTACTTTTTCCCTAGAGCATTAACTTCCGATTTTAAACGTACCGACCGGATACAAGCTCCAGCCTTCTCTAGCAGGGGAAAAAAAAAAAAAAAAAGCGCGCAAGAGTGTCTGAACGTTAGTTAGAGGATACATGTCTACCCTCAGCCTCCGACTTACACAGTTCGGGTGGGGTGTAGTAGTGGTTAAATTTGCTTCATGCATTTGGGATTTTCACTGTAACTATAAGGAACAGGAACTTGCCTTCCCCATCGCCCCTTCCTCCCCTGTTCTATTATAAAATTGAAATAAGGGAGTAATTGATTTGCACTGATCGTATCTGGCAATCAGCCAAGTCAGGTAGGAATATATTAAGCGAGTTTGTAGGCAACCTTCTTCATAAAAGTTTTCTGTCTGTAAATGATCCACCTTACCAATCTAAATTTTTATGTAGTTTGTAGTCTTGTTTTTGAAATGAGTGGAAAAATTACTTATTAAAACAATCTGATTACATCAATACTAATGTTGCATCATTTTAGTGAACGTTTGTTTCCCTTAGCTGGACAATTGTTTTTTTTCATTAAAATCATGCTAACGTTCATATATCATCCAAATCCTGAATGGTACGCTGTTTCTATAATGGCACACTTTATCCAGAATGGGTGTCAGGGTGGGTGTGTCTCATGTCGCTTGTGAGGAGAAATAGGGTAAGTAGAAAATCAGAGATGGCTTTCAGTTTCTTGGTGTTATCCATGCTATCTGGGACCTTGCAGCAACTGAATTCTGTTAGCCCCAACCACAGGGCTGTTATTCTGAGAATTTCAAGCTAAAACATACACTAAAACACAAAATGTTGGTGTATGTAGTGGTGAGTCTGGGTAAACTACAAGTTGCAGGAAAGTTTGAGTTATTTCAGAGCTAGGATTTTTAAGGTTAGACTGAGGAAATTCAGGCACATTTCAGCTACTTATCAAGACAGCTAATAGCGTGCAAATGACCTTGATTCTGCCTTTTCCACTGAGGAGGTAGAGTGAGAGGGAAAGAGGGAGAACCAGTTATCCTATATGAAACTTTCATAACTGATATTTTACTTAGTAACTATGCTTATGTGTTACTCTGAGGCAGACGTAAGGTTTCCACCTGTATTTTTTGTTTCTGTATTCATTTGTGCATGATTACTTTAAAATTTAACCATATAGAAGACTTAAGGAGTCTACTTAATAAGTTTGTTGGATGTTTCCATTCCTTTAGGTGCTTTGCTTTCGTTTTACTTATGTGTATCTAAATCTTCCTAGGTTTTTAACACTTAAAATTTGAACAGTAACACTGTCCCTGTAATACATTTGCCAAAGCAAACAACATGCAGATCTTGCACTCAAACCACACTTTATTTTTAGAATAAAACCAGCAAAGTTCCTTAAAAAATATTGAAAGAGTTTATATATGCTTATCTTTCCAGATATTCACGGTGGCTCTTTGGGATCTGTTCAGTTTCCTGGTGGTACCCACCCCTGCCTTCATTCCTCTAGCAAAGGATTCTGGTTTATCTTGCATAATAGAGAAATCTGCTTTGAGTGAACTTCATCTTAATGTTTGCTCTGATATGAACTCCTTTGTCACTTCTGAGTCTACCCTCAGATCAAGATTAATTATCAAGTGCTTTGTCACCTGGTTACTGTTACCTCCTGTCCTTTAGATGTGATAGGGCTGAGAATGTACTTCCTTCTTTAAATTTTAACTTTTTAACTTAAAAAACAAGAGCCCAGAGGTAGTGTTGGTTATATAGCTTCATACCGTCCACCCCTGAATAACAGTAGTAGTTTGTTTCTCTGATTTTTAAATTTGCAAGTCAAATATGCTGTGGCCTTTTGTCATTTTCCTCTCTTGCTTTAAGTGCCCTCTTAGGTCTAGCTGGAAAGAAATGCTCTAGAATTGAAGTGGTACTTCAGTGCTTCTTTAAAAGAATTAAAGAAAAAGACTGGCTTCCTAATTTATGCTGTTCCTGTTGCCAGACTGGCCTTCAGAGTAATTTGACTATTATGGCAGACAGCTTGGAACAGATCATGTATTTGCTGTGTGCTAATGAATGTTCAAATTTCAAGTTAGAAATGTCTTCAAGCTCGAGCAGTACATATCTACTGGCACCCTTACAGTTTTGATGTTTAAGTGTTTGATAATGGGGTCACAGTTATTAGAAGATGCAATTTCTGTGATTGCAGCTTTGTTTCACTGTAGTACACATGTAGTTCATCATTATACTTGGTTTATCATGCTGTGGAAAAGTTCCTCTATACTTTTTGTTGTACATATTTCTAGTAAATGACTAGAACATGCAGGCATAATATGTGTGGTTAAGAAGAAAGTAACGTTTTACTGGAGAGATTGATTATATTTTGGATATCTTGACTTTTAAGAGCTTATTTTCAGATTCATTGATTTACTTTTTTTCAGTGGTGTCTTAAGTCAGGGTTATAGAAAATCATTTAATCAAGTCTATTTCTTTGATAAGACACTCTTAAAAATGGTGACTAACATGTGCTCCAGGGAATTACTAATAAAATTCTGAGAAATCCAAGTAGGCATAACCTGTCAGGAGGAAAACTTAATCTGATTGAGTCAGTCAGCTGTTGGTGTATGACCTGATAAAATATGAATTAGGTTTAGTCCTGTCAGAAGTTGTTGCTATCAATGTAGGTGTTCAGTTACATCTTAAATCTTACTAATCAGGCCTCACATTGTGTCAGTCAATGAGTTTCATGGGTTAGCTGCTACATGAGTATCTTCAGCTGATTTCTCTGAAGTCTCACTGTTACAAAGACAAATCATTTGAGATCAGAAGTGGCCAGTGGTCGAATCCCAGCATGTGTAGGCTTTCTTTTCTCCAATTCAGACCTTCATTCCTAACTGTAACAGCTGCTGATTAAAAAAAAATCTAGGTGAATGAAGTAAAGATAGGGACTGTTTGTACTTAGGTGGTTAGGGAAGAAAATCTTATCTATCAGCAGTGATACTGAGGGAGTATTCACCATGGTAAGGCCAGTGATTAACTGTGGAGCATTTCTGTTACGATGTGAACTCAAACTCTTGGACAGGGTATCACTTTTTCTCCTTTATACCCAATAATGGACTTCTAATTTGTTCAGAGATGAGCCCAGTCAGCATTGCACATACTTCCTTGAGACTGATCCACATAGCTTCTGCGACATAGTATGCTTGAGACAGAATCACAGATTCATCTCGGTTGGAAAAGACCTTGAAGATCATCCAGTCCAACCATTAACCTCACACTGACCGTTCTCAACTACACCAGATCCCTCAAGCGCTGGGTCAACCCGACTCTTCAACCCCTCCAGGGATGGGGACTCCCCCCCTGCCCTGGGCAGCCCATTCCAACACCCAACAACCCCTTCTAGAAAGAAATACCCCCTGATAGCCAGTCTAAACCTTCCCTGGCACAAGTTGAGGCCATTGCCTCTTGTCCTATCGCTTACTACTTGGTTAAAGAGACTCATCTCCAGCTCTCTGCACCCTCCTTTCAGGCAGTTGTAGAGGGCTATGAGGTCTCCCCTCAGCCTTCTCTTCTCCAGACTAAACCCCCCCAGTTCCCTCAGCTGCTCCTCATAAGACATGTGCTCCAGAAGGTAGTTTACTACCTTCCCTGTTACCCCAGTGAAGTAGAAAAATGATGACATCTTGCTTTTGATTATAGTCTCATGCATCACTAGATGGCTTTCCAGGCTCCCAGCCAGAGAGCTATGTTTATATGTTCTTTGCCTCCAAGAAATCAGGAGTCTTTGGCACCATTTTTCTTTTCTAGTAGTAAAGTAGTTATTGCTATTACAGTTATTGTAAGAATACTCTTAATACCTATGTTGATTTTCTTCCTGAGAACATCTTTTAAGGGAAACAGAAACCTCTCATTTTGCTGCCTTTTTTTCCTACCCTGGTCTTCCCTCTTTGATAGATAACCCTTCCCTGGACTTCACACATGGTCTGTTACAGTGACTGTACTGTTGCTAAGCTGTACATTTTGATGTCCTACAATCTTCATCTCTTGCCAACTTTCACATGGATGATGCATCAGGAAGTAGATTCTCTTTTAACCTGATGTGATACAGAGCTGCATCATCCAGCCACAAGGGTTGGTATTTTTTAACACAAAATACTTTCCTTTCCTCTGGTGCTAGAATTTCGTCCTTGGTTTTTTGGCGTTCAAAGTTGGATTTGTTGTAATGAAACTCAGGACAGTGACTCTAGCAGACAGTGTTCAGGTCATACAAAGGGAAGATTGATTTGAGTCCCACAGTCCCAAGGATGCTGCTTCTACCTCTCCATGAGTGCTGCACAGACAACATCTCTGGTGTTTATAGTCAGGACCACTGTACTTACAAGACCTTCAAATCCAGGGAATCTTAGCCAACATATCTATAATTTTAGCAGCTCATTTAAGAATGTTCCTGTTTCTTTACCTGAGTTAATAGCTGAAAAAATGCCACAGGGTAGATCCCTGTAGGTAGTTTCTCTAGCTTGCTTTACAGTTTGTGACCAAAGGTGTTGCCAAAATCAAGACACGTTTACTGCCTCGTCCTCTACTGTGACAGCCTAATGGGTCTCAAGACCAAAGCTAAACTACTCTGGCATACTTTGCTCTTAACAAATCCATGATCGCTGTTGTTTTCCTCTAGTTATCTTCTAGGGAATTGCAAAAGATGTTTTTTGTTCAGTGAGAATTGATGCGAAGCAGACAACCTCCCAGACTGCTCTTCTTTCCCTTTATTTTTGGAGACAGGAATGACATTTGTCCTTTTTTGGTCTTGATACTTTGCTAGGCCTCTGTGAACCTCAATGATTCTGGCCAGTATTCTCAGTACTTTAAGAAGAGAGCTTCAGACTGGTTGGCTCTGATGAAATTTGATTCATTTTTTGAGGAAGTATTGTTCTTTCTGTATTCAGGCCACCTGATCACTCCATTGTTACTGTGCTAGTCATGTTA